AGAGAGAGTGAAGTCAGGAAAAAGGCGAAGTACTCCCAGAACTGTGCGTGAAAGTAAGTTGTGCTGGCTCCGCGAATGATCCACAATTCGGTTAATAGCGATAAGCCGCTTTCCAAGACCGATGCCTGGTTGTACGCCTGTTGTGCACACGCCTGTTTTGAAATACTTTCACTTCTGATCAGGACGCCTCGCACATATTTGGGCCGCTCTCAGATAAAAAGCCCCTCTGTTGGATAGGACCAAGGATTCTCCATGGAAAAGTTCATCTAGGACGTAAACGAAAAAACTTCTTAGAAAATATTGACACAATGGAGTGCTAGAAGGACCTCAACGAGTTCAAAGAACGTAGGACCGTTTGTTGCGACCGCTCACTGTCAAACCATGGTGGTCCGTTTCGCCTATCAATCAGACGAACCACGCGGTCTGACCGGTCCCAAGGATAAGCTGGGCCTACTATGTTGTCAGCACCGGCCAGCTCCTTGCAGCTCAACAAATATCCTATGGATTCATTTACCCGCCTGACTGCGGGAAGGCGGATGGACCAGTCAACCCAGGCGCTTCCTCCTCTTACATTGGCGTTCAACTAGTTAGCAACCTAAGAAACCATATGCAAATAGAGCACATACACGAAATTGGACCGAAACTTGGCCCTCATGTTAACCAATACGTCTGGCTTGCCGCGCCAATACGTTTGAACGGGCAAACATTTAGAAGAACTTCGAGAGATGTGAGGAATATCCAGATGATACTCCTCGCAATAAGGACATCTCCTTATCGGGTCATCTTGAACGCGATTTGAGCGAAGGGAGAGGTTGAGATGAGGATTGAGTCGGTCGTAGGGCGAACAAGCCCCACGAGCAATGGGCGCAAACAAGGTCACGTTTGCTTTTCGAATATTCTCCGCGCAAAGAAATGAAATCCCACAATGGTCGAGTGAATTCATCAAACGCTATACAAACACGGGGCCTTACACGATCCAAGGGCATCGCGCATTGTGGACGATACGACAAAGCGCTAAAAGTTCAGCAAATGCTTAGACATAGTGAAGATCGTCTTCTCTGCAAGAACGCCCCTCGGCGGCCCTGTTCGTCTGGCTCTGAACCTAAGTCTTGCTTAGGAGAATGGTCGAAGAGGCGCTGTGAGATGCACCCCTCCTCCTTGAGGGTACAACATCGTTGGCATCAAGATCAAGGAATCCGTATTTTTTCGCTAGGGAACGTCGGCTACTCCGCTGTCCTATTTGAATGTGTCACGAAGTCTCGGAAGTTCGCCGCCCTCTCACGCAGGTGTGACGTAACCACTACCGTATCTGGACTCAAACATCCAAATACAGAAACCAGTAAGACTTCCTCTAGGAAGCTCAAATTCCTGTTTCAAACCTGTGAAACAACCACTAATCTTCGAAAACAAGCAGCTTAGACACTGGGCATGCGAAGGCTCAGAGACGAAAAATGGCAGAGTTCTTAGCACCAGATCCTGCCCGCTCCGTCCCATATCCAGTCTGGCAGCGAGCAATGAGCTGTTGATTTTCTGCAGAAAAAACCAACAACACAATCCGAAAAAGAAAATTCAGAGGGGCGGGGGGATCATTAGCCTGATATGGTAGGCCCTTTTATGACAGCAGATGGTTTTGGTATTGCTTTTCCCACCTCTTTACTTTCCCATGGTAATTGTTCATGATATCTCCCACCGGTATGGGCCCAGAACCCTACGGAAAGACCGAAGTGAAAGATAGACACTGCATAAAAACAAGCGACATGTAGACCGTGCTCATACCGCCCAGCCACCTGGCTGAGACTATCCCTAGCCGGTTGTGGAGCCCAATCCACTTCCGCGCGACTAGTCACAGACAGGAAACGAGTGTGTACTGAGGTGATGACGAAAGGAGATAGCTGAGGAATTCCATGAATGAATCAAAGGCATTGTCGCTACGAGAATGTGATTGTATCGCTAAGGCGATGAAGTAAGCGCCAAAGCGCCGAAGCGCCGACGACGACAACGTATGACTCGACAAATATTAATCACTCTCAGCTAGAATCAATTCGAAGGAAGAGAGATAGCGCGAGATATGGATCAGAGGCGAAATGGGCACAGATGGGTTGAGCGCAGCTGGGAGAGAGAGAGATGCGCGAAAGTAAGAGTGGACGCTGACAGAGCCGTATGAATGTTGTAATAACCTCATATGGTACGAGATTTTCCTTCGGCAACTAACGATAGGAGAAAGTGCGGCTGATGGGACTGATAAGAATATGCTCTCCACGAGAAAGTCTTTTGTATTATCAGAAAGAGCCCGCGGAGGACTTTCTGAATGCATAAGGCCCACGATAGATAAGGGTTGTAAACGGGGAAGCTCACTATGTTCGGCGCTGGTCTAGCAAAGGTCCGCAGTCCAGCAGGTTACGTGTCTATAGGTACTCTAGTGTAGCCGATCCAGCTCCCGTACATTAAAGCCAGTTTTCGTGCTTCGAACCAAATGGCTCACCCATTTCCGGCCACTTTCCCTTCCAAAGCAAGTGGGAAATAATTTTGGGCTTTACTCATTCTTTATCGCTCCTATCTCCGGGATACGGACTTTACTTTAATCGGTACTTTCCTCCTAGGTTACATTTTGTCGAATCAATGCCTCTGGCGCTACTGTAGCATAGGTCCGTAGTACTCTGCTAAATTGGCGTCACTCGTCATTAACTGCGTCTTTCTTCAAATACTGAGGCGAAGATTCGATCGAAATTCTGCTCAAGAAGAAGAGGGGGCGGGCAAATTTCCCCAGCTCTTTCCTCCTGAAGATGGTCTAACCCTCTGAACACGAATATCACATACTTCCAACGCGAAAACATCTTGCACATGCGCTACGAGCACTAGCGAGAAGAACTGCTGGTGAGGCTCGCGCCTGTGGCGATGGTGCCAAACGTTTTCGCTTCAAGCAGATGTGACACTCGTGTTCACAGGGTTGGACCACATCCAGGAACGAAAATCCGGAAAAAATTCCCCCCCCCCTCCGCCACCCGACCTGAGTTTTGGAGAAAGGGGCAGTAAAGGACAAGTAGTGCCCAATTTTGTGACAGGCCGCGGACTAATGCTAAACCTGCTATACCAGCGCTATAGGCATGGATTCGGTAAAATGTACCTGAGAGGGGAATTCTGATGAAAACAAGACCCGAATTCCGAAGAAGGAAACAACAAAGTATAACTAGTGCCAAAAACTACTTTTCACACAAGCTTTATGAAAGGAAAAGCTGACCGAGGTGTATAATCATTTGTCACAAACACAAAAACCCGCTTTCTATGAAGGAGTTGTATAACCCCCACCAGAGCAGCTATTATACCGTACTGGCAGACCTCTGCTACATCTGCTCGAAAGTTCAAAAGATTCTAGCAATCACCCAAGGACACCTGCAGAGACAAAACGGCCACTTTGAAGATACAAGAGCTATTTTGTCGAACGCTGGCCGTTCCAGCAGCTTCAGAATAACAAAAAGACATTATACTGAATCATATGAAAATTAGCTTTCAATGCTCTTAAAATGCAAAGCAGAATTTCAAATGAAATGGCTCACATTCCGACGCCCACAGTGCAAGGCAATGAATGGGTTATCGCAGCCGAGATCTATCGAAAACCCAGAAAAGAGAACGGCGTCCCATATGGAGATGAGGTCATGAGGTGAATTTATAAAAAGGCACGCGCCTGTTACGACCATTAAGTTTCAAGAAACGGGTCAAAAAGAGGGAATGGTGTTATGCCAATAGGATAAGGGAAAAAGACTCAAAGCAGCTAAAATCTTCGCCAAAGCACCAATAAGAGGAGGATATCTGCCTTAGACCAGTATGAAACATTTCCGAAGAGGGTGGACCAACTTCGCTGTGCAAAGGCTCTTGGAACTTCGCCACCAATGCTCCACGAAGTGCTCCACGAACAAAAGAAGGCGCTTACTTATTTATGGACGGGGGGGGGGGGTAACACTCCACATCGCGTCCGCGTCCCTTCTCCCTGCCAGGGTTTAGGCTTGGAGCATAGAATGTAAGAATTGCTGTGGATTACTCTTGTGAAAAGTACTTTTTCTACACGAATCTAACTGCCTGCGCTGTTAGCCAGAAACCCGGAGAGAATGGTAGGCGCTGTGGAGTTGTTCCCCCCCCCCCCTCAACACGTTAGCGCCAAAAATTTATACAGTAATCCGGCAAATACATTTTAAATCTAATCAATATGCTGTGAACGGTTTTTCGTAGCGCCAAGATTACCCGTCTCTGGTAAACCGGGTGTAGCATAGTATTGCACAGCACTTGACAAAATCGCAAAAATTTGCACAAAGGGATCGCTTCACCAAACCCGGAACCCTTTCACCTGAGCTAGACAGGATCTTACTTTTGGTCCCCAATTGTTTCTCCGCATTTACCATTAAGCAACTGCCCTTACTGGAGTAGCGCCACGATCTTGACCAGGGCTACGTTGGAGGCGATGCGAAGGGTCGAACTTGGTCCGTGGAAGATGGGAAGGAGTGGAGAGGGTGACAGATTTCCTTTGTGAAAACGTTTTTGGTTGTTGAACTGTGTGAAAGATAGCTCTCACTTTCCTCACTCGAAAGACGAAATCGGGTCTTTTCACTACTAGAATGAGAAGAGTAAAAGAAATCAATGAAGAAACTACCCAACTAATCCTCAATGGAATACAAAATTCAAAAACGAAAGAATTCATAAAATGCGCATTCGCACAGCTGAGAATGTTTAATGAGTGTGCGATGACGCGCGCGTGAACTCCACTTCATCGCGACAGGCGCCGAGTGAGCGCACGCGAAGGCCCGCGCTCGAATTCCAAGAATTCCTTTCTTGGAAACAGCCGGCCATAAACGATGTGTTTCGCAGATGTAGTGGAATGCTAGCAGCCTACGCACGTACACATAGTACGATCCAGTCGGAAACGGGAAAAGACTTGCCCATAAGGGCGCGCGCGCGTGCATATAAAGAATACCATAGAAACACCAATAAACAAAAGAGACGTTAATTGCTCACCTCGGCTGAGGAACTGGTACGAAGGACGAGTCAAAATCGGGAAGAATCGATTGGTAAGCACCGGAATCAATTAACGATCGATAATTGCTCTCATTTGGTGTTGATGTAGGAGTTGTTGCTGCTGATGGTGTAGGGCTCGTAGATGCGGATGAAGCGGCCAGAAATGGTGACGGTCTCGAACCTCTTGAAAATTACGGTATTTATCGCGACAAAATAGGGCATTAAGAACAGTCTAGAGATGAACTTACTGTTCTTCTCGTCGCTGACGTATCTTACGTTTAGCGCCAGAGGGGCTACGATGCAACATCACCGGTATTTCTTGCGGAAAAAATGTCCGCGATGGCTGAAATATTGGATGGTTCAACGAAAGGCACATCAGTTGAACTGGCAAAAATAAAGGCAAAGGCAGTTTTCACAATTGAACTGATAAGGAAACTTCGACCCTGTCGAATTTTCCAGAGTTGGGAGATATCTACGAAAAGAACTCAGTAAAAAGCAATCCAAAAATCCAGGAAAATAATAAAGAAAAAAGAGAAAACGGTCAAGAAAGCTCGAATACCGCAGTTTTTCTAGAACGGTAAAATGAAACGGACCACCACCTTCTTCAAAACTTGTGCAAGGATATGTGGGTGAGACCATGGCTGCGAATATTTGATGGGGCTGCCGTGAAGAAAGCCCAGAACTGGTAAGGTACTGAGCACAGATCGTGGTAGGAGCTCTTGGGCTCAAGGTACAAGCCCTTTTCAAGACTACCGGTGAGACTTGTGCGTTTTCTCACGCACCCACTCGCCTCCCGCACTCTACACTGCACACCTCAAATGCCATCCCACTCTACTTGACCGCGATCGATCTCGCGATCCGACCATCTAAGATGAACGCTTCACCACGTTTGGTATTCTTTCCTTATTCTTTCGCACTCGCTCTCTTTCACAACCGCAAACGACATCTTCTTTTTTTTTCGCTAAGGGGGGTCAAGTGATAGTCTGGAGCAAACTTCATGGCTCAATATAAGTGTTCTTGATCCAAAAGCAACTCACATTGATCCAAAAATGATGTTGCAAAAAGTTTAGATTAGAAGCTTAGCGTTCGCATTGTAATAGAGGCGCAATGTGCTCGAGGTTACGGGCGGCTGGTGTTCCCTCACTCACTCATCTGTCCCGCAACCCCTTACATCCACAACACCACGCCCTGTCGGAGGGCGGGTGGGAGGGGGTTCGTGGCTCAGGTTTGCGAGCTGGGAAGTACAATAGGATGGGTGTGTGAGTTCACTGGCACACTCTAGATTTTCGCAATGATAATCTCACCCCAAAAGCTGTGCAGTGGTTTTAGGCAATGATGTCAAAATTTGACAGAGCCACACCCCCGCACACAGCACACACACACACCACTACATTCTGCTTTTCAGAGTTCATTGCACTGATACGCCAAATAATATAAATTCGCTAACTGCTGATCGCTACTGACTGATGCTACCACTTTCGAAAAAAAAAACGATGAGAACGGCATGGTTACAGGGTAAAGATCAATTTGTTACTAATGGCGACTAATGCGCTTGACTTAAGATTAATTCAAGGGCCAAACTGGGAGGAGAAGGCACCTCCGTATGCCAATTCCAAGGCTAAGCCAACGACAGACTCGTAGAAAAGGCAGCTTCCAGTAAATCTCTTGTATGAGGGGAGGGACACAAATAGGCTGCCGAGTGCCTCCCCCTCGCCTTATCGACTACGATAGCGCCCAATCTAGTTCACAGGAAGCTCCCGTTCTCATTTGTAAATTCAAAATTAAAAACTTCTGAAAGCAAAAAATCCAAGTCAAGAACGAAAACAATTTCAAAAACATGCAAGATGAACGTCGCTATGACACTTTCCCCGATCATTTTTCGGTAGGAAATATCGGAGATACTTAATATCGACTGCATGAGGAACTGAGACTCATAGCCTCTCCGTTAACGATAAAAAGCATTATAGACGAAAAAAAATTGAAGGAACCAGCTCAATGAGTGTTTCCTTCCTAGTGGAAAGCTAGGAGCCAGCGCCTCAAAGCGTACAAACTAGCAGAGTATTCCCTAGCTAGATGACCTGGCAGCCTGCAGCGGTGTCAGTTTGTATCATTTAGGTCCTATGCGAATGCCATGCTGTTTTTGCCCTCCCCCCGGAATCTGATGGCACTTGTAAGATATGTTTGTTAGCTTCAAATGCAGGATTTGAGAAGTAAAATCGTCTCGTTAATGTAAAATAGTAGGAGCATCACATCTGCATTTGAAGGACTGTAGCAAAGAAACTCGATATTCGAACGTAGGGGGAAATCAGAAAAAAAACGAGAAGAAAAAAGGAGATGAAAGTAAAAAAAACCGTACCCGTAAAAACCCCTCGACCGTATGTAGACCGTGGATATTACCACCCGTCTACTGCAGTTTGTACAACGCTCAGGACCAGTTTTATATGAGGAACTACGAGAACCCGTTTACTTGAGGGAACTGCAAAACGAAAGTGTTTTTCCCCTCCTTGGTTTTACTGCTAACCTTAACTGTTTACTACAAATTGCTCTAATCAAGAAAACAACATCGAGGTTCAGCTACTGAAGAACAACCGCTGAAGCTTCTAGGTTTTCCTAGGGGACGTTCCTCTTCAAAGTTCGTCCAAACAGCTGTCAGATCGGAGCTACTAGCAAGAGTGAGTAAACACCAGCAATACCGTGGACCAGGTAATCGTTACCAAACTTCAATCTTTTCCCTGTAGGAAAAGCTGTTCTTCAATCAAGACACATCATCGCGTTATGGTAAGCTGTCAACCCCCCCCCCCCTCCCCT